TTGGAGTTGATGGACATGATAGGATTAGTGTTTGTCCTCGTTGATTTTGTTTTTTTACGACTTTTGTTTTGAATGTTTAAACGTTTGTTGGGCTTCTAAATAGAAGTCTCATGTAGATGATGATGAAGAAGATAGGCTCGAGGGTTTGGAGAACAGATTAAGTGAGCTTAAAAGGAAAATTCAAGGAGAAAGAGTTAGGTCTATTAAAGTAAGGGAGTTTCTTCTATACATGATGTTCTTTATTAATTATACTAATTTCTGAAAAATGTGAAATCATTGATTGGTTTTGATTATTCTTCTGGGAATGTAGGAGAAATTTGAGGCTAATAGAAAGAAAGTGGATGTTCATGTTTCTCCCTTTTCATCTGCTGCATCGAGCCGGGCTACCGCAGGGGATAATGGAAATAGCAATGTTTTTTCTTCGAGAATGGAAATACCACTCTGCAAATTAAATGGTTTTTCTCATGGGGTGGGAGATAGAGACTATGTTCCTACTAAGGATGTTACAGCAGCAAGTGTCAAGCTTCCGATTGCTGAGAGAATACCGCCTTACACTACCTGGATATTTCTGGACAGGTATGCACTTTATTTTTTTTTCTTTCTCGTCTATAACTATCACAACTAGTTTTGGGTGCGATTGTGGTCGTTTGTTTGTCTGAGTATAGGAGGTTCACAATGATCTCCTCATTGAAGTTGAATTAGTATTCTCCATTCGTAGATTTGCTTATAATGTATTAATTAGAAGCTTTTTTCTCCAGTGTGGGCTAAATGGGAGATAATGGCAAAACAATTTCTGAAAATATCTTTAACAATGCAGAAATCAAAGAATGGCGGAAGATCAGTCTGTGGTTGGTCGAAGACAAATTTACTATGAGAGACATGGTGGTGAGACACTGATATGCAGCGATAGTGAGGAAGAACCAGAACCTGAGGAGGAAAAACGTGAATATTCCGAGGGTGAAGACTCTGTTATATGGTTAGTTTTGCAAAGAGTGTAAATCATGGGTTGTCATGTACTCTAATGGGGAAAATTTGTGATACTGGTATACTTATATAAATATTTGAAGAAGGAATGAAGTACCTGGGTGGAATTTATTAATCAATGAATCACATTTACTGATACTAGAGAAAGATGACATCTATCATATTCATATCAAATTTCATTCTGCATTGGCAGTAGATTTGAAATTTATCTCATTATATGTGAATTTCGTAATAACGGCTTTGAGTTGAATTGGCAGGTTGATTGGGCAGGAGTATGGCATGGGTGAGGAAGTGCAGGATTCTCTTTGCCAGTTTCTCAGCGTAGATGCTTCAGACATTCTGGTGTAGTTTTAGTCATCCTGTTCTTGTGGTTTATCTAATTATGTTTTTCTGGTCTTCCTATTCTTCTTCACTAATGGTGTTTGACTCTCCGGTCTGCTGCAGGGAAGATACAATGAACTCAAGTTGAAGGATGAGCAGAATACTGAGAACTTTTCTAATTCCGGATTCAAGCTTGGAATATCTCTGGAAAAGGACCTTGGTGCAGCTCTAGATTCTTTTGATAATCTTTTCTGCCGCCGTTGCTTGGTACTTGGACTGTTCTTTTGTGACAGAGAGAGCATGTATTATTAAGTATTTGTTAATCCTTCTTTTGTTATTTCTAACAGGTATTTGACTGTCGTCTGCATGGATGTTCTCAGCCTTTAATTAGTGCTGTAAGCTTGAATCTGTCTTTACTTTCTTTAGTTGAATTACTAATGAACAATATAACCGGAAGACTTTGGTTGACAGAGTGAAAAACAGTCTTATTGGTCTGATTATGAAGGTGATAGGAAGCCCTGCAGCAAACATTGTTACCTCCAGGTCTATCTCTCTGTCTCTTTACACGCTCAGAGAGACGCATATATTCCTAGTTAAGCAGGAAAAAAATTCAGTTTAGTGTATCCCCTCAATAAACTACATTTGAACTGTGAGATCATGGAATAGATGTCATCTGTTCTCTGAACTAGGTTGAGGTCTAGCATGTATGTGTCTGCTAGAGGAGTGATCTTTCATCTAGTTGTAAGAATGCATAGTCTTGATTATGTATGATTTTCTCTTGGTTCCGGAGTTTGAATCACCATTACTCTTACGTTAATGGTTTTAGGTCAAGGCGGTCAGAGAAGTACCTAAAGCAGAAGAGAAAGCTTCAAAAGAGGAATGCAGCAAGGCTATCTCCTCAGATGACCCTCATGATGCTGCTACTGGTGTCAATCTGCAAGTTGAGAAGACTGATATTGGTTTCAAGAATTTAGATTCATCCTCTGGTGTAGAACAAGAGCATGGAATTAGGGGAAAGCGTGAGGTCCCGAATCTCGAAGACTCCAATGATCTGCCTAATTTATCAAACAAGAAACAGAAGACCACAGCCTCAGATACAAAAATGTCACTTGTTAATTCTACCCCTAGCTTAGATCAGGCATTTGATAGCTCAAAGGGTGATCAAAGTGAAACAGTTGAGACCAACAATGTAAACAGAGACTCAGGAGCTGATTCAAAAGAAGTAGCTGAACCTCTTCCAGACATTTTGGTCCTTGATGGTGGTTCCTCCGTTTGTCAGCCAGACCATGGTAGTGGAAATGGATCAATAATCATTGGAGAAATGTCTGAGAAAAGTCAACCATCTACAGAGTGGAACCCTATCGAGAAGGATCTTTACTTAAAGGGAGTCGAAATCTTTGGGAGAAACAGGTACACTGGATCGTGGTAAATTATTATCTTCAAACACAGAACATGGATTTACATATAGTATGTTTTGTCCATGCTGTCTCAGCTGTCTTATTGCAAGAAACCTACTTTCTGGCTTGAAGACATGCCTAGATGTGTCCAGTTACATGCGTGAAAACGAAGTTTCAGTTTTTCGAAGATCTAGCACCCCAAATTTGCTGTTGGATGATGGCAGGACTGACCCAGGGAATGATGTAAGCTCTTGATTTTCCTAGGTTCTTTTTTCTTTTTAATTTTTCTGTAGTCTCTGCAACTTTGGGCGTTTCTGTAGCCAGTTTCAGGGAAAAATAAGTAAGGAAAAAAGTTCTGATCTGGATAAGCCAATTTCCTTACTTATTTTCCCCAAAAACTGCATTGGGCAAGAGAAAACGATAGTTGGCTTAGACAAGTGATTATTTTATTTGTGATTTTATCGATATTAGCATGCCATATCTTTCAGAAATCACATTTTAGTTTATACTGCTCTCTTATTCTTTACTTTACAGGATGATGAGGTGCCTCCAAGGACAAGATTGTTCCGTAGAAAAGGTAAAACTCGAAAGCTAAAATACTCTACAAAGTCTGCTGGTCATCCATCTGTCTGGAAAAGAATAGCCGGTGGCAAAAACCAGTCCTGTAAACAATACACACCATGTGGATGCCTGTCAATGTGCGGAAAGGATTGCCCTTGTCTAACCAATGAAACTTGTTGCGAGAAATATTGCGGGTATGCAAACAAATTAACATCAAATGAAGTAACAGAGGATCTACTTATAACCACCCGTTGATTTAATTCAGGTGCTCAAAAAGCTGCAAAAATCGCTTCCGAGGATGTCATTGTGCAAAGAGTCAATGCAGAAGTAGGCAGTGTCCCTGCTTTGCTGCTGGCAGAGAATGTGATCCAGATGTTTGCAGAAATTGCTGGGTTAGGTAGTCAGTTTATATCCAGATCTCTTGATGTGCTACATACAATCAATTCTACTATCTGATGACTAAATTACTTGCTTATTTACTCAGTTGTGGAGATGGTTCTCTCGGCGAAGCACCAAGACGCGGAGAAGGGCAATGCGGAAACATGAGACTTCTCCTGAGGCAACAACAGAGGGTATAATGTCGTCATCAAATTACGTATTTACGATAAATAAAATGCATTCATTGTTGATAAATCTAGTTTCTTGTGTGCTATATTTACCAGATACTATTGGGAAAGTCTGATGTTGCTGGATGGGGTGCTTTTCTAAAGGTAAAGCATGTGAATCTTTTTCTCATTAACTACTGTTTCATACCTCTTCTCTCTAGCTGATCGCTTGATCATCATCTGATCATCAGAACTCGGTCAGCAAAAATGAGTATCTCGGAGAATACACTGGCGAATTGATCTCACACCGCGAGGCGGATAAGCGTGGGAAAATATATGACCGGGCAAATTCGTCCTTCCTTTTTGACTTGAATGATCAGGTGACTAAATCTCACAGCCTTCTTTTTGATATTTTCCTCTTGAATTTCGTATCTATAAGTAAGCTTTTAATATTTGCAGTACGTCCTCGATGCTCAACGCAAAGGAGACAAGCTGAAATTTGCCAATCACTCGGCAAAACCCAATTGCTATGCTAAGGTACTAAAGCTTCTCTCTCATCAATTTTGGTATGAAAAAAGTAAACTACATGATCGTTTAGTAATTATACCTTCTCTCTCACCTCTAGTTACTCGAAAGTTCCATTTAGGAGTACTAGGATTAGGGAAAGATTGCTATCAACAATAAAGGAACAAAATAAAAAGATAACATTTTGTAGAAAACTAATCGCGACTAGCACTATAGAAAACAAATGATCAAATCTAGCTTTGTAGGTTATGATCAAACACACTTGTTTCTGCAATCTTTATAAGTGTAATGTGTAAAAAAGTAACGTGTGTACATCATCTGCTGGATTTATTCAACCCTTTTCAAAGGTGTTAATTATTTGCAAAAGGACCAATTTCTGGTCTATAGTAGTAGTAACCATGGTATCGTCTCTTTTCGGATAAGTACGGTATGTTTCTTAATGTGTAAAAAAAATTTTATTATGCATGTATACAAGAAAATTGAAGGGTTTTTTTTTTTGTGTTGTGTTGTGTTGTAGGTGATGTTTGTAGCAGGAGATCACAGGGTCGGCATTTTTGCAAACGAACGAATAGAAGCTAGCGAGGAGCTTTTCTATGACTATAGATATGGACCAGACCAAGCACCAGCTTGGGCTCGCAAACCTGAAGGCTCGAAGAAAGATGATTCAGCCATTACTCATCGTAGAGCCAGAAAGCATCAATCTCATTAATCATTGCTGGCTGACAAAGGTAAAATCAGAGCGTCACAGTAGAGAAGTAACTTTAAAAAAATAATTTGTGAGAGATGATATTATAAGTTGCGACTTTAAATTTATCTTTCATTATAGAGTTGAGATTTTATTTTATTTTATTTTGACATTGGTGTTGGACTTTGTATAGGGGATAAAACAATTTATGAATTATTGGGATCAATAAGTAAAAATATTATTGAAAAATTTACTGAGATGTTATAGAAAAGTATGTTTATTATTAGAATATCATATATCTTTTAAAAATTACTCATATGTTTTGAGCATTTGTATAATTACAATTAATACCCTTCATTAGTTTTTTTTTAATTAATAATTTTTAATTCGTTTTTAATTAAAAATAATAAATAAAAATTTGATTATCTATGTCATTAATCCACATCACCAATCTCACACTCCTCAAATTCACGTTATTTCTCTTCTTCTCTTTTTTGTCTCCAAATCCAATAAAAGCTTTTAGATCTAATAATTTGCAACTAACTTGGGTACAACATTGACAGAGATCTTCAAATTGCAGGATTGGGCTGGATCTTCCTAGACCTCACAGCCACAACGCTTGCCATAGGGTCCCAAATCAAAAGCTTCGTCAGATCTACTCGCAACCTCGCTCACGAAAAAAGTCATCAAAAATCAAAACCCAAGTCAAAGAGATCTATGGAATTCTACATGATTCGTTACAGGTTTGAGTTGAAATCAAGAATAGCTACTCTTTTACTTTGATTTTACATGTCTCTCGTTTAATCTTCCTCTCAATAGATCTATTTAGAGACATTTCTTCTTCTATCTATGTTTTGATTCATACGGTTTAGTCTTCCTCCTATGTATCCCTCAAACATATTTTTACGAATCTTAATTTGATTGTTGTTATTTGACCAATAAATTTCATATTGTCTTCTCCAAAAAAATGTTGCTTTCCGATCTGTATTATAAATCAGCCGTAAAGTGATGTAACTCAGCCGTAACGTGATGTAAATCAGCCGTAACATATAATTTACACAACCTTTCGTCTTCCATGAATGATAACTCAGCCGTGACATGTAATTTACCGAACCTTTCATCTTCCCTGAAGCATATAACTCAGCCGTAACATATAATTTACACCCATCTTTCGTCTTCCCTAGAGAATATAACTCAGCCGTGACATGTAAATTTACCGAACCTTTCGTCTTCCCTGGAACATATAACTCAGCCGTGAAATGTAAATTGACAGAACTTTTCGTCTTCCCTTAAGCATATAACTCAGCCGTGACATGTAAATTTGCCGCGAAACAATAAGAGACGCAACATTTCGTCTAACTTTATCATCGAGCACCAACTTCACAAGTTTTTCGTGCGTTTTTCCGCATCTATCTGCACAACTCTACACCCTCTTTCATCGGTGTTAAATACGTATTTGTGTTTCTATACCCAATTACCGGAACCAGATCAACCATATCGAGAGAAGGATGAAAGAAATTGAAGAAGAATGAGGAAGACGATGAGGAATTGGAAGTTTCGGTGATGTGAAAAACTCATGTGAAGAAGACGAGTTGAAAAAATTTGGCCCTATTTTTTTGTCCTTTAATGATGATGACATGGAATTATGACATGGAATGATGACATGGAATGTTGCATCCACGTCATTTTTTAATTGATGAAGTGGCAAGTAAGCCACCAAACGAAAATGTAAATCAGCTTAATTAAACCAGCCATCAAACAAAACTTTAACTCGGTCGCAACATGAATACTATTACAGTAATTAAAAAACGAAAAAACGGCAGCCAAATTCAGCCGTTTACTGTCGTAACTCAACCAAAAATATTTAACTCAGCCGTGTCGTTTAATAAGTCGACCGTCATTGCATGCTATTCTAGTAATTAATCTTTCGCTACTAAGTCAGCCGTAATAAGGCCGAGTTTTCCGTTAATCCAGCTCATTACGGCTGATTTATGACACTCGAACATAAATCAGCCGTAACGTCATCCCATAACTAAGCCGTCTTTGATAACTCAGCCAGCCGGAGAAAGTTAAGTCAGCCGTGTCGAAGCAATAACTCAGCCAAAAATTTGACAAATCAACCATCGGGTGAAAACTCAGCCATAACTTAGGCTGGGTTATGCTCGAAAGTCAGCCATTTTATCATAACTCAGACAGATTTCAGTAAGTCAGCCGTAACTCCAGGCTGGGTTATACTCGTAAGTCAGCCGTTTGCTCATAACTCAGCCATTTTTCTTAAATCAGCCGCAACATACAGTAACTCAGCCGTCACTGCCGCTATATCGCTTGACGGCTGAGTTCATTAATACACGTCAGCGATTTCTGACGTGGCGACGCGGCTTTGCTGATGTGGCAGTGACATTCTTTGTAATTACGTTTTTTTCTATAACCTATTAACAGAGACACGCTGGGTATAAAAAATATACCCAAAATATGAAATAATAAAAAAAGATCTGTGTGTTTCTGATAATTTCATATAAAATGTTATACATCTGAGTAAAGTTCCCAATATTATTTAGTTGACAGGCAAATCAAAAACAAAAATCTACTAAAACAGGCACGGGTCGCCATCGCAGCCGCTCTCGTGGGCCTCCAAAACCTATTGCTAACCGACCAGATTTAGGGCCTCATGGATCAAAGAAAGCTTCCTCACGGAAGTGATGACGTCTTTTTTTTCTTGGAACACGCGGGGATTCAATATGCCTCGCAAACATAATGCTGTTCGTAATTGGATTCAGGCAGTTAGGCCATCTTTTGGTTGTTTCTTGGAAACTCGGGTTCAGGAGGTCTTCTCGGGTCCTATTATTAGTTCAATGTTACCAGGCTGGTCTTCTATTTCAAATTACGATCATCACCGGTTGGGTCGTATTTGGGTTTGTTGGAATAGTGAAGTGTCGATTACTCCCATCCTCAAGAGTGCTCAACACATTTCTTGTATTGTTACAGTGGTGAGCTCGGGAACCAGTTTTCTCTGTTCATTTGTTTATGCATCGAATTTTGTGGTTGATCGTAGATCGTTATGGGCTGACTTGTGCCACTTAAAAAGTACACAGCTACAGCCTTCTATGCCATGGATAGTTCTCGGAGATTTTAATGAAATTTTATCTCTGACGGATCACTCACGAGCTCAAGACTATGCTTTTAACATAACGGGAATGAGAGATTTCCAAAACACTGTTTCCTTCTGTGATTTAGGAGAACTATCATCTGCGGGTCCTAACTTCACTTGGATCAACAATCAAGACTCCAATCCTATTGGTAAGAAACTTGATAGAGCACTTGTAAGCTCGGACTGGCTGGGTATGTTTCCTCACTCCTATGCATCGTTTGAGGCAGACGGTATTTCTGACCACTCCCGTTGTATGATCCATCTTGCTACTTCCAATTCGCAGCATCGTAAGCCATTCAAATTCTTCAATTTCTTGACCACTCACGAGTTGTTTCTTCCCACAGTAGCTCGAGTATGGCTTGAAACACCTCCCCTATTTCATTCCCGTATTGCTCTGTCGCTTTTCCACCGCAAGCTCAAACTGTTAAAGACACATCTTCGGAGTTTGAATAGAACAAGATTTGGCAATTTACCACTGAAAACAAAGGAGGTGTATGACACATACTGCTCAGCTTAGACTTTAGCTCTCTCAGCCCCTACAAGCTCAAATTTGCAATCATTTTCTGAAGCCTCCGAAGTTTGGAATAGATTGGCCTCCCTAGAAGAGAAGTTTTTCCACCAAAAATCACGTATACAATGGATGAAGTGTGGGGATCAGAATACTTCGTATTTTCATCGTGTCGCTCAGGCTAATGCTTCAAAAAATGCAGTGCGAAGTCTCACATTGGAGTCAGGCGAAGTCCTTACTGAACCGGCAGCGATAAAAGCTGAAGCAGCCCGTCATTTCCGGGATTTCCTTCAGCGAGAGGTTGACGACTTTGACGAGATTCCACTGGATTCCCTAAGAAGCTTGCTGAACTACAGATGCTCCTCCTCGCGCTGTTCTGAGCTAGTCTCACCGGTGTCTAGTGAGGAAATTCAAAAAGCTCTGTTTTCACTGCCTTCCGGTAAAGCATGCGGACCGGATGGATACACAAAGGAGTTTTATGTTGCAGCCTAGAGTGTAATAGGGTCAGACTTTGTGGTTGCAGTGCAGTCTTTCTTCCTCTTTGGCCAAATGCCGCGTTCGGTTAATGCTACTCTCCTTGCTCTTATTCCTAAAAATCCAGGAGCTGCCTCCTCCACGATAAAAGATTATAGACCGATTTCCTGCTGTAACATGTTATATAAAGTGGTATCAAAGATATTGGCCAACAGATTAAAGCTGCTCTTGCCGGATTTTATTAAGCCGAATCAAAGTGCGTTTGTTAAAGGGCGATTACTATTGGAGAATGTTCTTTTAGCTACAGAGCTTGTGAAAGACTACCACAAGGAATCGATTGCCCCTCGAAGTGCTATAAAATTTGACATATCGAAGGCTTTTGACACGATACAATGGTCTTTTATTCTGTCTATTTTTCAGGCGCTAGGGTTCCCGAAAGTGTTTACTAGATGGATTAATGCCTGCATTTCTACCGCCTCATTCTCTGTGGTTATTAATGGCGAGCTTGAGGGTTTCTTCCCAAGTAGTAGAGGGATTCGTCAGGGCTGTTCTTTATCCCCGTACCTATTCGTAATGGTACAAAATGTTCTATCTCGGCTTCTCAATTGTGCAGCATCCCGTAGCGCCATAGGCAGACACCCTCGCTGCGATCATGTTCATGTCACTCATTTAAGTTTTGCCGATGATATTATGGTATTTACTGACGGGCGTCCTTCCTCTTTACAAGAAACCATTCGGGTCTTTGATGAGTTTTCACGGATGTCGGGTCTACATATTAACACTACCAAGTCAGCGATCTATGTGGGTGGGAGAATAAATAATGCATTATTGGAAGCTGCTGCTTCTCATGGCATCCCCAAGGAATCTCTCCCTATTCGTTACTTGGGATTGCCACTCACAACAAAATCTATGACGGCACATGACTATGCACCTCTTATTGACAAGATTCGTTCTCGGTTTCTCTCATGGACCAATAAGCACTTATCTTATGCGGGACGGTTGCAGCTAATTTCTTCGGTAATAGCTAGCATTTCCAATTTCTGGTGCTCTGTTTTTCGATTGCCGGCAAGATGTTTTGAAGAAATTGAACGGATGTGTGGAGCATTTCTTTGGTCGGGTAATCCTAATGTCTCGACGGGGCTAAAGTAGCTTGGACAGAGGTTTGTAAGCCAAAGGCGGAAGGAGGTCTGGGTCTGCGAAGATTGCGTGATGTTTCTCGTGTCTTTGCTTACCGGTTAATATGGAGGTTATTTACACTATCGGGCTCTCTTTGGGTGGCTTGGACTAAGACAAATTTGATGAAGGGTGGGTCTTTCTGGTCAGCTCCAAGCTCAACTCTGGGTTCTTGGATTTGGAAAAAGCTTCTAAAGCTTAGGGAAGACATCAAACCATTCATTCGCGTGGAGATTGGTAATGGGGACACTGCGTCTTTTTGGTTTGATTCATGGCTGCCGCAGGGCTGCTTGTTCGCCATTATTGTCCCCGCGGGACCTCGACAATTAGGTGTTCCACTACACGCAACAGTCAAGGAGGCGACAGGCCCCTGAGGCTGGAAACTGCACCGTACAAGATCAGCCTCTCTCTACCCACTCCTGCACGCCATACGAGCTGCCCCTATACCTCATGTCTCTCGAGGTACGGACCGGTTTCTATGGAGAGTTGATGTGAACGCCTTCACGGACCAGTTCCAATCCTTTAAAACATGGGAACAAGTTCGGGAACGTCACCAACCAGTGCCCTGGAGAAATCTCATTTGGTTTGGTCAAGGGATTCCGCGATGTGGTTTCATCTCTTGGCTTGCAATCCAAAACCGTTTGTCAACAGGGGATCGAATGCGCCTATGGGGACAACATCAACCATGTGTGTTCTGTGGTGAAATGGATGAAACTCGCGATCATTTATTTTTTGCGTGTCCGTATTCCTACATGCTTTGGTCATCGCTAGCCGGGAAACTGCTTCGCCATAATTTAACTCCGGACTGGGAAGAGACAGTGGCTGCAATTCGGAGCCATACGGGAGACAAGCTTCGGGACATACTGCTCCGGCTATGCTTCTAGGTTAGTATTTACGTGTTATGGCGCGAACGCAACACTCGCATCCACAACAATGGAGGTCTGCAAATAGCTCAATTGATCCGCCATAGTGAGAAGCTGGTTCGTAATAGAATCTCATCATTGGATTACCCCATCAAGCCATGTCTACGACTGTTGCTGCAACGGTGGCTCATGGTTAAGCCATAGAAGACTCCGGGTCCTCTGTTTCTTCTACGTCACAAGCATGCTCTGTTTTTTTATTCTCTTCCTAAGCTCTGTTGTAGTCTATTTCTTTTTAACAATGTAAATATTTCCCACTTTGAAATATAAATTACACATTTCAACAAAAAAAAAAAAAAAACAAAAATCTCTGTACGTCAACGAATAAAACTGATTTCAAATAAGTAATCGAACAAACCACACTAAACCAATCCCTAATCTTCTAAACCGTTTCCGGTTCGAATCGGGTACGGGCTCCGTTTTCCAGTTGGATTAGTCGGATCCAGTTTCTTCTTGCTTTTCAATTCACATTACGAATCTCCGACGCTAAATTCTGCTGCCGGTAACAGATAGTTTCGTCGTCGAGAAGAAGCAGGAATAAAAAAAATGGCGACGGAGGCAGCTCCGATGGACGAAAAGGCGAAGAGAATGAGAGATCTATTGTCGAGCTTCTACGCTCCGGATCCTTCAATCTCGACGAGTAATTCCTCGATCAACGCTTCTTTCGATAACATCAACAGCACTTCATTCGATGCTGATCAGTACATGGATCTCATGGTAAGTCTTCGTTTCTTGTTAGAATATTCGTGAATCGTCAACACAAGCGTCTATAGCTTGTAAATTGTATCAATTATTGAGTATTTCGATTCACTGAAGTTAGATTCAGCTCCTTGATCTTGCTCTGACGGGTTAGTTCGAAAGTTAGAATAGGTTTAGATCCGACTAGTATCTTCTGGAGCATGAAAATAGTTGCTAGTTTTGAATTGTACCCTTCGGATGAAGTTTACAGTGTGCAAGAGGACTCTTGATCAATGTGGTGGGTCATGAATTTCTCCTTGCTGGTTTTGTTTTTTTTCTATGCTGCAATCTTTATTAGAATTGTGCTAAATTTAGTTGTACTTATCAAAGATTTTCGTGCAATGGTTGATAGTTCATCACTGAACTGGGTTTATGAGGTTTGTGTTAAGTGTGGTGACAGTAGTGCGAGCGATCTGATTGAGAAATATGCCACGATCTGGTGGTTTTATTGGCTTGTGCAGATTAAAAAGTCGAATTTGGAGGTGCTTCTGCAAAGACATGTTCAAATGGCTGCTGAGATTAAAAATCTCGATACAGACTTGCAAATGCTAGTCTATGAAAATTACAACAAGTTTATCAGTGCAACAGATACAATCAAAAGGTACTTGTAATGGCTCATGGATCGTTTCAGGTGTTAAGTTTGTGATTCTCTTAAACATCTTTAACACTTTCTCTATATGATTTGATTTCACCGCTCCAGAGTATATTAAATTCAAAATGTTGCTTCTTTACCTGGTAGGATGAAGAGTAATATTTTTGGGATGGAAGGCAATATGGACCAGCTTCTTCAGAAGGTCTTTTGAACACATAGGATAACACGTAGTTTTGGGTTTTTTGATGGGAACTTCTAACTGATAATATGATCTCCCAACTGACTCATGCAGATAATGTCAGTACAATCAAGGAGTGACGGGGTCAACACTTCTCTTTTCGAAAAGAGAGAACATATAGAGAAACTGCACCGGACTCGTAATCTTCTTCGTAAAGTTCAGGTATGTAATTTGTCATTGTTGCTAGCTCATTTTATATATCTGCTGTGTTGTCACCTGATCATTATAACAACAATATACCGCTTGCTATTGTGAATTTACTCAAAATAATTTTTGTTAAAAAGAGCAGTTCATCTATGATTTACCTGCAAGACTGCAAAAGTGCATCAAGTCAGAAGCCTATGGAGATGCTGTCAGGTTCTATACTGGAGCAATGCCAATTCTCAAGGTTTACATCTGTCCTCGGAAAACTTTTCCATTTTTTTGTAGTATTTTCATGTTATTGCGGCATTTAACATCCTGAAGATATATATGGAGATATGTTTTAAAATATGAATTTCTCATTCTGTTCAGGTATATGGCGATACATCATTCCAAGATTGCAGACGAGCTTCCGAAGAAACTATAGAAATCATCATAAAGAACTTGCAGGTATACCTTTTGGTCCTAGTCATCTATACTTATCTGAATTAATAAAAATCTACATACTGGTGTATCAACCATATAAACAAATAACTAGTCTTTATGTTTTGTGTTTGTTATTTCTTTGAATTCTTGATGCGAGAAACCTATTTTGTCTTGTTCGATAGACGAAGCTATTTTCAGATTCAGAATCCATACAGGCGAGAGCTGAAGCTGCAGTGCTTCTTAAGCAGTTAGATGTCCCTGTCAGTTCTTTCTCTCAGCTCAATTATTTATGACTAGTTTAATTTGTTAAAACATCTATAATTTGGGTGAAGGTTGGAGCTACCTAGAACGTTCCTAATGTGTGACATAAATTTGGATTGCATATCCTGCAGGTTGATAGCTTAAAGGCTAAACTGTTGGAAAAACTGGAACAATCTCTTGATGGTCTGCAAATAAAGCCTGAGGAGGCAAGTAAACTTGTAGAGCACGATGATTCATCTAATGATACAGAAAGCAATGACCAACATCCTGCTAAAATCCATGAGGTAAACAAGGACTACGTCACTTCCTTGTGTTTTGTGTTTTGATGAATGCAAGTTGGAACACAGTAAAACTGAGTGTATCTATTAAGCACTTTATATATCAGCAGCTGCGTTACAGCAGATTTTCTCATTAGCCACCACATTGAGATTTATTTTCTTTTATTTCTTTTGGTCTATCAGACTTGACGAGCTTTTTTTTTTGCACTTTCAATATTATATGGATAGGATGCTGTACGTGGATTTTCTGAGGCCATGCGTGCTTACCGAGAGATATTCCCTGACTCAGAAGAAAGACTTTTCAAACTCGCGAGAGCCTTAACAGCAATGTAATGCACTTTTCTTTGATTATTGATCCATAAATCGAGACTTTGATTGTGTCTGGCCTGCAGAATTTCTAATACTTATGGTTGTTAGGCACTTTGAGAACATGGAGCTATATATAAGAAAACGGGTTTCTGCAGCAGATTTTCTTGGAATTTTTCGTGAGTACAGTGATTTTCCTTGTGCCATTGTCTCTTTTTTTTGTTGCTTTCCATTCACTCTGAAAACTTTGGTTAAATCAGTCTAATAACCATATACCCTGTCTGATTTCTGTTGGACATAGGAATTATATGGGAAGATGTGGTACTTATGGACGAGGTGCTACCTGAGGCTGCACTCTCTGATTTATCTGCAGAGGTTGACCCTCATTTATTTTGTGTGGTTCTATTTTTCGTTATAATGTATAGAACTATATATGATTACTAGCACTCCTCATTTCAGGCTGCCCAGGTTACTCTTAAGCAATTTGTTGCGAGGACGTTTTCTCATCTTCAACAGGATATATCAGGTTCGCTGTTTCTTGATTTCTACTGGATGCAGAATTTCCCAGTGACGGAAAAGAGAGAGAATGAGTATAGCTTGAATAATTCATAATAAATTCTGTGACATGGCCTCTATGTAAATTTGCAGAGTAGATTAATCTCTTCGTGAATTTTTATTTTTCAAAGGAAATAGAATTATAATGCGGTATATACATGGCAGATACTCTCTTGAAATTCGATATCAACCAAAAGGAAGCAGTTGAGGGGGAAGTCTTGAAGGTTATCCTGGAAGCTAGCCAAAAAGCAGTGCTACAAGGCACCACAAATATATTCCAGGCACATTCCTTCTTCTGTTATTTATTATATTTTGGCTGTTATTTCATCTGTAAGAATTCCATGCTCAAAAACGCTTATATTTGTTTTATCACTCTAGGACTTCCGTCAGCTTCTTGATGAAAACGCTGGAATATTTATAAAGATGAGGGATTTAATCAGTGGTTGGATTCAGAAAGGATTTCAAGACTTCTTCAGGTCACTAGAAGCTCAATTTCTAGTGCTTTCTGGAAAAACTAGCTCATCAAACGATATAGAGGGAAAATCGAGTGACAAAATTCATGCCGGTCTCATCCTTGTATTGGCGCAGCTCTCTGTATTCATCGAACAAAAGGTCATTCCGAGAGTTACTGAGGTGAGAGTCTTACAACTAGTGTTACATAAAGTTTAATTCATATTGTTAGCTGGTTTTGAGAATTTTCATATGCTAATTCAGGAAATAGCTGCTTCCTTCTCTGGTGGAAATTCCCAAGCCTTTGATAATGGACCTGCTTTTATTCCTGGAGAACTTTGCCGGGTCTTCCACGCAGCCAGCGAGAAACTTCTCCAGCATGTATGAATAAAACTCCAAAACTTGAGGTCACTTACCAAAACTTAAGATCAACTAACTAAATCATTTCATATTTCAGTACATAGACACAAGAACACAGAAGGTATCGGTTTTGCTGAGAAAAAGGTTCAAGACACCAAACTGGGTGAAGGTATTGCTGTTGTCGTGTGGCTAATCTTCTTAGTAAAGCATTTTACCAGTCATTGTTTTCTAAATATTCCAAATATTATGCAGCACAAGGAGCCACGAGAGGTTCACATGTATGTCGATATGTTTCTTCACGAGGTTTGACAATTCTTCTCCTCTTAATCTGGAAATTAACTAAAGAACATGCAATAACTCATATTTTTTTGGATTTCTAATTCACAGTTAGAAGAAGTTGGTAAAGAAGTGAAACAAGTTTTACCTCAAGGGACATTTCGTAAGCACAAAAGAACAGACAGCAACGGAAGTAACACTACAACCTCATCACGAAGCAATACACTCCATAGCGATAAGATGACACGGTCAAATTCACAAAGGGCTCGTAGTCAGCTTTTCGAGACACATCTTGCAAAACTGTTCAAGCAAAAAGTAGAAATATTCACCAAGGTTGAATTTACCCAGGTAAGAACGAAACAATTAAAGGTTCCCTTTTAGTCATAATATATCAATCAAACAAACATATGCTCGTCATCTCCTGATCTGTTTTCTTTGATTTCGTGCTTAAATGCTTACAGGAATCCGTTGTTACAACAACTGTAAAACTCTGTCTGAAGAGTTTGCAAGAATATGTCCGGCTCCAAACTTTTAACCGGAGCGGGTTCCAGCAGATTCAGCTAGACATTCAGTTCTTAAAAGCTCCTTTGAAGGAAACAGTTGAGGACGAAGCTGCAATTGACTTCTTGCTCGACGAGGTGATTTACGCCTAAAGCTTCTTCCTTTGCTTTTCTTCTCGTTACCACCGGGTACTTTAGGGTTTAGCGAATCTGTGTCTAGCTTTTGCAACTGACCATATTGTCGGACCATGTTGTGTATTTGTATTAACAGGTAATCGTTGCGGCTTCGGAGAGATGTCTTGACGTGATTCCATTGGAGCCACCGATCTTGGACAAACTCATACAAGCTAAACTCGCTAAATCAAAGGAGCACAACAACAACACAGTTTCTTCTTAAAAGTTGTCATAACTCAGAACAAAAGTATGTGTCATGATTTTTGCCAATTTCTTTCCGCTTCTTGTTATCATCCGTAATTCCGTAGTTGTAAATCAAAACCATTGAATTGTTTGTGTATTTTCAGAAACTCTCTATCATTAGACCATTAAATCTATATAGTATTTTCGTTTTTACTTTTGTGAACAAAATAATTTTAAAAAGTTCCTTTTTTTTTTTTTAACAACGTGCAATAGCAACAAGGATTTGACATATAAGAAGATATGTGGAAACCCTAAACTAAATTAAACAAAAATATTCATAATCGGTTTGGTCGGTCGAGTCGCGGATCTTTTATTATATAAGCGTTCCTCGAGACCTGTTTCTAAATTATCTTTCTCTCTAATCAAAAAAGCTAAAAAGCGATGGCCACTGCGATGGTTCTCTCTTCTCAAAACCATCGATTCGATCACGAAACCCTAATCCACCGTAACCCTAATTCTCGCCTTTGCCGCCACTCTTCCGCTGCTTCAACGGCTCCTCGCCGACGCAAGCGAAGCCCTACGGTTGTTAAATCTCCGGCGGCGAATACCAATCTTGTAATGGAACAAGTCAAGATCCTCAAGCGCGGTGAGACATTGAGTGCGTTTAAGAACAAGGAAAACATTAGCTCCGATGACACAAGACGACCTGTTTTGAAGATGATTAAAGATGTTGATCTGATTGTATCGTCCACTAATAGAATTGGACCTGAACCAGAGATTTTGATGAAACAGATCGGAGCTTCTAAAGGATTGCAGATCTTCTCCGGAGCTATTTGCTCTATTTCGCCGCTTCCAAGCTGTGTTCCGATTCCATGTTTCTTAGGGAAGAACAATCTCCTTATTTAGATCTCCAAAAGAAGATTTTGGAAAGAAAAAAACCGTCTTTTCGATGGTCTTGTAAGAGCAGATTTGTGAAGAATCCTGAGAAAGAGAGTAAACAAATTTGTTTGTTTATCTCAAAGAAGAAGATGGAGAATGTGATCACAAAACGCCAATTGCAACCAAAATTTGTACTCTGTGTTTCGGTGTAACAGTCACTGTGACTCTTTTCTATGGCTTTTGTAGTTTGTTTTTGTTTGGATTTTGAAGTTTGTAGTTGTCACTTTTCACATGATTCAAATCTCTTTTTATGCAATAAAAATCTTATAGTAATACATCACATAAGTTTCTTGAAAGCAAGACAAAAACTATAATCTTTCTTCCTACTAACAATAGAATCAGTTTATTACTCTCTTCTAAACAGAGTTATTTGATTCATTCTTGCTCTCATCTTCAAGATTTGTTGCAGGTAATACTTTTTTCCAGAACCAATGTTTACTCCATAAGAGTGTCATCTCTTCTATTGGAACTCCTTTGGTTTCAGGCAACAGGAAATAGACAAAGATGGTCATTACTGTGACCCAACCAGCAAAGAAGAGGAAGATTCCAAACTTGAATGCGCAGAGGAGACCGAGGAAAGCTTGAGCTATGATGAAAGTGAAGAGGAGGTTTACGGCTACCGTGATACTCTGCCCCGCTGAACGAGTCTCTAATGGAAAGATTTCGCTCGGTATGGTCCAACCGAGAGGACCCCATGACCATCCAAATGCTATAACAAAGAGGCAAATGAAGACGACTACGATGACTGAGTACCCTTTTGATAGCTCTTGGTTGTCTCCAAATTTCACTCCCAAGATCACTGCAACTATGACTTGACAGATTATCATTTGTATTCCTCCAGTGATGAGAAGAGCTCTTCGTCCCAGTCTGTCCACTAATCCTATGGAAATAAATGTTGATAGGACAAGAACAGCTCCTGTTAAAGCTGATGAGTAGAGAGATGCGTTTCCTCCAAATCCCATTGTCTGGAACAGAACAGGCGCGTAGAAGAGAATTGAGTTTATCCCTGTGAGGATCTGAAACATTGGCATGCAAATCGCCATAACTAGCTGAGGCCTATGTCGTTTCTGCAGGATGTTTCTGAATGGATGTTTGATTGAATTCGCAAGCTCACTCGCATCTACCATGTCTTGAAGCTCGGCATTGACGGTTTCCGTCCCTCTTAGTTTCACTAAGACACGTCGACCTCTCTCTGTCAATCCTCTTTCCACCAAACTGTTGGGAGTTTCGGGTAAGAAATACCCGCCAAGCGTCATAAGCAGAGCTGGAAAAGCAGCCAAACCAAGAGAGAGTCTCCATCCCCAAGGCTTAAGTTGTTGAGTACCGTAATTGACCATATTCGCCGTAAAGATACCAATAGTTGTGGCTAACTGAAACATCATGTTTAAACCACCTCGCAGATGAGTTGGTGCCACTTCTGATAAATACAAAGGAACCGCCTGAAAACAAAACCAAAGCAAGCTAACTAAGATGAGACTGGTTCATCCCCAAAGCAAGTAACTTTTCATTAAAGATGTGATTGGTTTATCGGTGAATTCAACTAAACAATTGTCTAACCTGATTTCCAAATCCAATGCCAACACCGAGCATAATCCGTCCCGCAAGAAGCATAGCAAGGTTCACAGCTCCAGCATTCAAAGCAGATCCAATAAGAAAGCTGATTCCACCACAAACAATACTTGCACGCCTACCATAGTTCCTAGTGACGGGTGAAGCCACGAGAGTCGAAACCAAACCAGCTAAGTAGAGTGAAGAAGTAAAAGCAGCTAATCCTTGATTATCATATTTGCAGTAATTACTTTCATGAGCATGCTTCTTCTTCTCATAAACCGTATGGAAAAACTCCTCAAGAAACTCATCCATCGACGTAACTCCTCCTGCAAACAAAAACCAATTTCAGCCAAATTTGTTTAGAATATTTAGATATTGGATTCAAAAGAGGAAGAAAAGAAGAACCTGAGACTCCAATGTCATATCCAAAGATGGATCCACCAATGGCTGCAACAAGGCAAGCAATTATGACATAACTAGTAACTTTCCCTTGGTATTGTTCTGCTCTCTCCTTAGCCACACCGGTCGGACCAAACGACCCTCCTGCCATTATTTTCTTCTTCTTCTTCTTCTGCTACTTTGCTTCTTTTTAAGAGTTTCTTGCAACGGTTGACTTTTTTATTTTTGCTTTTACTCAAATTCCAGAATCTGAGAGACAACGAAACAAAAAGGTTTATAGTATACATTTACATCTTCACGTGGTTAGATAGATTCAATTTGGTTAGGTTTTGGAAAAATTGAATGTGAAGTTTTTCCACTTTGAGATTTGTGATAATTGCGTGAGGATTCGTGTTTGGTACATCATTGTTTGGATTTAAGTTCCAACAATTAAAGACGTCATTTTCTTGACCTTATCTTCACACACAAATTTATAATTTAATAGTACTGATTTGCATGTCTTCTTACTTTGATCTCCATTCCCATAAAATCATCATGGTCGTTGGAATTTTGTCTGAATATGCTAATTCTATATGAGAAAAGAAATACAAAAAAGAGATTTTGTACCTTTTTGGTCAAATGTCATGTTCAACAGAAAAAAGGATTCCGATCTTATCACGTTCTAACAAGTAACACCTGGAAAAAAAAAAAAATCAAAATCCTTCCTAATATTTTCTCAACACCTCGATGAAATTCAGACCAAAAAAAAAAGTTGGTTTCAGACAGAAAGTGAAGAATCGAGACAAGTGTGATGGTCTTCGTCGTAGGTTGAAAGAAAACAGATTCCGGAAGAAACTGTGAATAAAAAAAAAAATAAGAAGACTTACAGGAGAAAGAAGAAGAAGATGTGACGATTTTTTGTAGACTGGGAAATGATTACAGACTTGAGTTTGCTATTTATTTCATGGATTTAATTGCCTACTATGAAGGCGATGCTAAAGATTGATGTTGACCAAGTTTTGATCAAAGCAAAAGAACAAAATTATAGATGGAATAGAGAGTTAGAGACTAATCTATATAAATCAAAAGCTTTAAACACACACACAAATTTGGATAGTAGGGATGGATTTGAGACAAGTGTAAGAAGAAATCACACCAACTAGTTTTCAACGTAAGGAGGATGATGAAGATGACATTATTTTATCCACCAATCGTCACCCATTTTTGGAAACAGATGACATATTATTAAAATCGATGTAAGCAAAAAATTATTAATCGCTGTCAATCATATACACATTTGTTTAAATAAATAAAAAGTGGCTGTAGTATAGCGGTTAGTATCCCACGTTGTGGCCGTGGGGACCTGGGCTCGAATCCCAGCAGCCACACTTATATTTACCTCTTCTTTTTATTTCCAGCAGGGGTATTTTCGACATTACATTAATCACGTGATCATTAATTAGATCTGGACCGTCCATTTCACTCCCCCGCCATTTCTCACTAATATAATTTTCCCGCCTAATCTCATCGTCATCTACAACCCTTTTACCGCCCAATTTCGCAGTCACTGGTTCATTCCTTCCTCTTCCTCTTCGAGTCTCCCTCTCTCTCTCTCTCTCTAAACCCAAATTTTAAACCATGAAAGACTATGATTTCGACGGCGACAAAGGTACTCTTCTCCGTTCTCGATAATCTCTTCCCTCTTTTTTTTTTTTTTTTCTCTGGGTTTTGATTTTCACATTTTTCTTATTGTATAGTGCTTGCCAAGGAATTTCTTGAGAATTTCGCCGACGCTAATGGCAGATCTAAGTACATGGAGATTCTCGTAAGTCTCCTTTCACCAATTTTTTTCTCTTCTAGGGTTTTCGCAAATCTCCCTAATTTTAGGGTTTTTTACTCTATAAATTGAAATTAGTAAACTCAGTTTATGAATTTGTGTAGCAAGAGGTTTCAAATCGTAAGATTCGAGCTATTCAGGTCGATCTTGATGACTTATTCAATGTGAGTTTTTTTTTTTTTTTTCTCACTACTGTTGTTTCTTTCTGGATGTTGCAATTGTAAAAGCCACGCATGTCTTTGATGTTGTTGTGTAGTATAAGGGTGATATTGAGGACTTTCTCGGACGGTTGACTGAAAACACTCGCCGATATGTTTCCATTTTCTCCGCTGCTGTTGACGAGCTGCTACCCGAACCAACAGAAGCATTTCCAGATGATGATCATGATATTCTCATGACTCAGAGAGCAGAGGATGGGACTGATAATGCAGATGTTTCTGATCCGCATCAGCAGATTCCTTCTGAGATTAAAAGATTTTAGTAAGTTTAGATGAATCTTTTTGTTGGATATAATCTTCATTGTTTGTGAATTGCTGCTTGGATCACTCGATTTTGGTTGGATTTTTCTTTCAAAAGTTATCTAATGAATTTGTTTTTATTCAGTGAGGTTTATTTTAAAGCTGCTTCAAAGGGAAGGCCATCTACCATCAGGGAGGTTAAGGCTTCACACATTGGGCAACTTGTTAGGATATCTGGTATTGTGACCCGTTGTTCCGATGTCAAGCCATTGATGGCGGTTGCTGTTTACACATGCGAAGAATGTGGTCATGAAATTTACCAGGTACCTACCTAACTATGTCTGCCAGATTGTAGTTTCTTTTTTTGTTTTGTTAACTACTAACTCTGATTATCTTTCTTTTACATGTCAAATCAGGAAGTTACATCTAGAGTCTTCATGCCTTTGTTTAAGTGCCCCTCCAGCCGTTGTCGTCTTAACAGTAAAGCCGGGAATCCTATTCTTCAGCTCAGAGCTTCAAAGTTTCTTAAGTTTCAGGAGGTTCTGTTCTGGTCAATGAGTGCCATTTATGTGAATGCACTGATATCAATCAAACTAATGTGTAAAACTCAATGTTTTGCAGGCCAAGATGCAAGAGTTGGCTGAACATGTTCCCAAAGGGCATATTCCGAGGTCAATGACTGTTCATCTAAGAGGAGAGTTGACAAGAAAGGTACCGTTTCTTGACCTCGGTCTCATGCTACTATTGGAGTCTACTTTCAGAATCAATAGCTGGGTTCCTTAGGAATAGTCCAATGAGAAGTTATTGTTTGGCTAAAAAGCATATGTTGAGCAGATTTTGATTAAACAAAACACTCTAGCTTAACGGGTTTAACAGCTCCTAATGGAAACTGAGAACTCTGTGCCAAGAATATGAAATCATAAGATGTAGAGTAAATAACTTGTTTAGGAGCAGCTTAGCAATTGAAATTTTTTTATCAGTACCTTCAGCATTCAAGAGGAATTTTTTTCATTGTTGTACTTGGACTAGATATAGTGATCTCAGAGTCATTTACTATAGTAGAATTGTGAATTTCTTACTAAATTTTCTTAAAACATTGTAGGTATCACCAGGTGACGTTGTTGAATTCTCAGGGATTTTTCTTCCCATTCCTTACACTGGGTTTAAGGCACTTCGAGCTGGCTTAGTAGCAGACACCTATCTGGAAGCAACGTCTGTTACTCATTTCAAGAAGAAATATGAGGAGTAAGGCTTTGTTACACCTTAATTATAACGAAATATTCTGATTTTTGTAACCTATTCCATGTTTATTGCATTTGCTTAAGTTACAAAGTAGCTTTGGTGTGTGCACGATATCAGAAAGCATCTCTAAATTTTTTTTTATTACGATCTACAGATATGAGTTTCAGAAAGATGAGGAAGAACAGATTGCACGTTTGGCTGAGGATGGTGACATTTACAATAAGCTGTCGCGATCCCTGGCCCCTGAGATTTATGGACATGAAGACATTAAGAAAGCTTTGCTTCTCCTTCTTGTGGGTGCTCCTCACAGGCAATTAAAGGATGGGATGAAGGTGAACCCTCCTGTCCTCTAATCTATATATGCAAAATCTCCTTGATGTTGCTATCTTTATGATAAAGACTACACTGATTAGAAAGCAGTTGCTTACTTTAGTTCATCTCCGGCTATGTCGTTTTACCTCTTTCCGTCCACTTTCAGTGTCCACAGTCTTCATTCATTGAGTTATGGAGCTTTATTATTTACATTTTGGGTAAACATTTTCAGCCATTCAAGAGCACATTGCACTTGATTGGAACATATTTTATTCGTGAAGACAATTAAAATCAATACATTCCTTAATTATCTTTGCAGATTAGAGGAGATGTGCATATATGTCTGATGGGTGATCCTGGAGTTGCCAAAAGTCAACTTCTCAAGCACATTATAAATGTTGCTCCAAGGGGAGTCTACACAACCGGCAAAGGTAGCAGTGGAGTTGGTCTAACTGCCGCTGTTATGAGAGATCAAGTAACAAATGAGATGGTTTTAGAAGGAGGAGCACTGGTGAGAGATAATGATCTTTCGCTTTGGATATCTTAGAAAATATGATGTATTGTTAAGAGCTATGTAATTTAGAAGATTGATACAATCTCTATCTCAGGTGCTTGCTGACATGGGAATCTGTGCAATTGATGAGTTTGATAAGATGGATGAATCAGATCGTACTGCAATTCATGAAGTAATGGAGCAGCAAACTGTAAGCATTGCAAAAGCTGGGATTACCACGTCTTTGAACGCTCGAACAGCTGTTCTTGCCGCAGCCAATCCAGCCTGGTAAGTGAACTTTTATGATATGATATGAATTAAAAACTTATGAAAGGTATGTGATCATTGCTATCGTTATTGAACTATGTATCTTTGTGTTTATGAAGGGGAAGATATGATTTGCGAAGAACTCCTGCTGAAAACATAAATCTTCCACCAGCCCTTCTTTCAAGATTCGATCTGCTGTGGTTGATCTTAGATCGAGCTGACATGGACAGTGACCTTGAATTGGCAAAGCATGTGCTTCACGTACATCAGACAGAAGAATCTCCTGCGCTTGGTTTCGAGCCGCTGGAACCCAATATTCTCCGGTAAGTTAAATCGCTTTTATAACATTCTTGTTCTGCAGAGTCAGAGACTTTAACATGAGCATCTCTGGTTCTCTTAGTGCATACATTTCAGCTGCGAGGAGACTATCACCATATGTTCCAGCAGAGTTGGAGGAATATATAGCAACAGCTTATTCCAGCATCAGGCAAGAAGAAGCGAAATCAAATACTCCTCATTCTTACACAACAGTGAGGACACTGCTCAGCATTCTGCGCATATCCGCTGTAAGTAGAATTTGTGTAGGAATTGTGGCACAAGTTGAGTAAATAAGTTGGACTATTGAGTGTGAATACTGTTTCCGATTTGTTCTATAGGCATTAGCAAGGTTGAGATTCTCAGAATCAGTGGCACAGAGTGATGTGGATGAGGCGCTTAGACTAATGCAGATGTCGAAAATATCGTTGTATGCGGATGACCGACAGAAAGCAGGACTGGATGCAATATCAGACACATACTCAATCATAAGAGACGAAGCTGCGAGATCAAACAAGACCCATGTGAGCTACGCAAATGCTCTGAACTGGATCTCCAGAAAGGTTAGTTACTTCTTCATCTTCTCATGTTCATGTTCTTTCTGATAATGGATGATCACTGAGACGATTTGTTTTTGGGTGTGAAAACAGGGATACAGTGAGGCTCAGCTAAAGGAGTGTTTGGAGGAATATGCAGCTTTGAATGTTTGGCAGATCGATCCTAACACCTTTGACATCCGTTTTATCTAAATTCCCTCTCTTTTTTACCAAACAAAATCAGTAAAACCACCAAAAAAGAAAAGGAAACCAAGTACGTCTTGTTATGTTATGTGCTTTCTCTGTTATCTTATTAGGTTTCTTAACTTGAAGGCAGTATAAGTGGATTTTGTAGAAGTTATCTTTTAGCTGTTTAAGGATTGCAAAACAAAATTTTCTTTTGTATAATTTTTGGATATTCAGAGGTGACTTGGTCTATGTGATTGTTACTTGAGGTGATACACTGATACTGTAGCATTCATTATCTTTCACTCTTGCAAAGCTGGTATGACATTTTTTTATAGAGAAACTACTTATCTACAATTGAGAAGTTGTTTACTTTGGTTAGATCTTGGTTGGATCAGATTTAGAATTGATGGGCCATATGGTACTTTAAGGCCCATTAAAGCTACTGGGCAAAGCCTCTCACGTCCCATACAAATTCTTCTCTCACTCACTGCATCACACAAGCTGTCGCTGACGGCTAACACGGCTTGATTCATCGATAACACAGAGCTACATTATTTTTACCATGCGTTGTTTCCCGCCAATTCGCAAGTTTCGCCGGCGTATTTCCCGGTGAAAAATTCCCGCGCAATCTCTACACTCCATAATAAGCTTCTCTCATCAATCACACTCTCTCATTCTCTGCGCCGGCTGTTTCACTTCCCTTCTCTCTCTCTCTCTCTCTCTCTCAAACTATCTCTTCGCTTTTTTCCACTCTCCGATGGCTCCGTCACGCCGACAGATCAGCGGAAGATCTCCGTTGGTGAACCAGCAGCGTCAAATCACCTCCTTCTTTGGAAAATCTGCTTCCTCTTCTTCTTCTCCGTCTCCATCACCTTCACCATCTCTCTCCAATAAGAAAACCCCCAAACCTAACCCTAACCCTAATTCTCCGTCTCCGTCACCATCTCCGCCTAAGAAAACCCCTAAATTGAATCCTAACCCTAGTTCTGATCCTCCTGCTCGTAGTCCTAGCCCTGGTCCTGCGACGCCTTCTCCTGTACAGTCCAAGTTTAAGAAGCCCCTTCTCGTCATCGGACAGACACCTTCGCCTCCTCAATCGGCGGTAATTACTTACGGTGACGAGGTGGTGGGGAAGCAAGTTAGGGTTTATTGGCCGTTGGATAAGAAATGGTATGATGGGAGCGTGACGTTTTATGATAAGTGTGAGTGTAAGCATGTGGTTGAGTATGAAGATGGGGAAGAAGAGTCTTTGGATTTAGGGAAGGAGAAGATTGAGTGGGTGGTTGGGGATAAATCAGGAGATAGGTTTAAGCGATTGAGACGAGGCGCTTCGGCTCTCAGAAAAGTTGTGACGGATGATGATGATGATGTGGAGATGGGTAATGTGGAAGAAGAGAAAGGAGATAAAAGTGACGGTGATGATTCTAGCGATGAAGATTGGGGAAAGAATGTGGGGAAGGAGTTATGTGAGAGTGAAGAAGAGGATGTGGAGTTGGTTGATGAGAATGAGATGGATGAAGATGAACTGGTGGAAGAGAAAGATGAAGAAACTCCTAAAGGAAGTAGAGTTTCCAAAACTGACTTTAGAAAGCGGAAGACTAGTGAAGTAACGAAATCAGGTGGTGAGAAGAAAAGCAGGACTGATAAAGACACTATTTTGAAAGGTTTTAAGGCTTCTGTTGTGGAGCCTCCAATGAAGATTGGAGAAGGTAAACCTAAGAGTCTCTTGTTGTAATCATATCATGCTTGTTTTTTACATTTTTGGTTTGTGATATGTGTCTTGCGCTGACTTTGGTAAGATAGTGTTGTTGGTTGCTAAATATTCTTTGTGTCTTACTACAGCTGATAGGGTGGTCAAGAATTTGGAAGATAACATATTGGATGGAGATGCTCTTGCTAGATTTGGTGCTCGTGAATCTGAGAAATTCCGCTTCCTGGGAGTGTAAGTCTTTAACAAATTTGTTTCCATCTGAGAGGCTATTTGCTATGATGGTTAGGAGTCGAAAATGTAGAGAATCTAGCATGTCTCTCTTAACTTCGAGGTTATCTAGATACACCTAAGGGTAATTTGTTAAGCAATATTTTTTCTACTTGCAGGAACATCTCTAATTTTCTTTTAACTTCATGATGTATTAGTAGGGTGATTGATCCCTATTTTAGCTAAGTTTTATTGTGTTTGTTCTTGTTAATTATTTCTGGTGAACAGAGACCGAAGGGATGCTAAAAGGAGACGCTCTACTGATGAGAATTATGATCCAAGGACACTATACCTTCCGCCTGATTTTGTGAAAAAATTAACAGGGGGCCAGGTAAGAAGAGTACATGGAAATCTGGTTCAGGATATTTGGTGAAGCTAATCAACTTTCACTTATTTGATTTTGTGGCCTGTTTTCAGAGACAATGGTGGGAGTTTAAATCAAAGCATATGGACAAAGTTGTATTCTTCAAGGTAGAACGATAATTACTTGTTTAGTTAGAACTTATTTATTGATGGGAGATTCTAGGATAAATGATCTTCTTTTGTGGCAAGCAGATGGGTAAATTCTATGAGCTTTTTGAGATGGATGCACATGTAGGAGCTAAGGAACTGGATATACAGTACATGAAGGTAACTGTCTGTTAACTCAAAACTAGTTGACGCATTTGAATATATCTGTTAAAAATGTCCAAAACCCAAAGATTTGACATCAAAATATGCTACAAGGGTTCTTTTCATTGGTGTTACATTACAAATTTCTTCTGTATTGTTTCTAATGTTTCTCTCTTTGCAAGCACCTGACAATATGCGTTTATTTTCTAGGGAGAACAACCTCATTGTGGATTTCCGGAGAAGAATTTCTCTGTAAACATTGAGAAATTAGTTAGAAAGGTTCGTTTCCAGAAATATAGCAACTCCAGTTCAAGCTTGATCTATTTCTTGTTACGTGTAGAGAAATTACATTCATGGGCAGATGTTGTACGGTAGAAATAAAGTTGATTGAATTGAATGGAACAGGGCTATCGGGTTTTAGTTGTGGAGCAAACAGAAACACCTGATCAGCTGGAGCAACGCCGGAAAGAGACAGGCTCCAAGGATAAAGTATGTATGAATCTAATTTAGTAGGCATCATCAGTTTCAAGTCAATTAATTTTGTTGCTCTTAAAACTAAAATCTGATGGCCTATGTAGAAAAATTATGATAGGGAGGACTCCTAGTGACACCACTCCGGTTTTTATAGGTTGTGAAGCGCGAAATATGTGCAGTTGTTACGAAAGGAACGCTGACAGATGGGGAGATGCTATTAACTAATCCGGATGCATCTTATATAATGGCCTTGACTGAAGGAGGAGAATGTTTAACTGATCAGACAGCAGAGCACAATTTTGGTGTCTGTTTGGTTGATGTTGCGACAAAGAAGATAATGCTGGGCCAGGTGAGTTCTAGTTGTTGAATTTTGGGGCCTGGTTGCACTTAGCATACGTAACATTTGTAGGTGGATATTGATGGCATTTTTTTTACCATTCCTACCAGTTCAAGGATGATCAAGACTGCAGTGCATTATCTTGCCTGCTATCTGAGATGAGGCCGGTGGAAATTATTAAACCAGCTAAGGTGTTGAGTTCTGCAACAGAGAGAACAATAGTTAGACAAACCAGAAATCCCTTAGTAAATAATCTGGTCCCATTTTCTGAATTTTGGGATTCAGAGAAGACCATACATGAAGTTGGAATTTTCTACAAGCGAATCAGTTGTCAACCGTCTTCTGCTTATTCTAGTGAAGGAAAGATTCCAGGTGATGGTTCAAGCTTCCTTCCAAAAATATTGTCTGAATTAGCAACTGAAGATAAAAATGGTAGCCTAGCGCTCTCTGCTCTTGGTGGTGCCATTTACTACCTGCGACAAGCATTCTTGGACGAGAGTCTGCTTAGATTTGCCAAGTTTGAATCCCTGCCTTGCTGTGATTTCAGCAACGTTAATGAGAAACAGCACATGGTTCTTGATGCTGCTGCTCTTGAAAACCTTGAAATATTTGAAAACAGTAGAAATGGAGGCTATTCGGGGTAAAGTTTCTCAATTATACTATATATTATTAAACATAATTGATGTGTTCTAAATCTAGAGTGTTGTCTTTTGAAGAACGCTGTATGCTCAACTGAATCAATGTGTCACTGCATCTGGGAAACGGTTACTTAAAACATGGCTGGCGAGACCTTTATATAATCCGGAACTGATCAAGGAACGACAAGATGCTGTAGCAATTCTGCGGGTGAGTCCTTCAACAAGTTGTTTGACTTCATATGCTGCTGACATGTGTATGGGTTACAAGCAAAGGGATGCATTTCTCTGTTTCCCAACTAGACAATAACTTGTCATGTTGGTTTTCCATTTGATCCTTTTTCATTTCTGTTTCGCAATCCATGAATCTCTCCTCAGAATTACACTATTTCCCCATTATGGGTGTTCAAGATCATTTTTGCCACTGTTCACTGGCAAAGATGATGTTCTCCTATGCTTTCAACTAACCATCTATTTCTAGAACTTATTCCCTTATATTATGAAGCTTACTCTGCTTCTTCAGCATGCAATGTCAAGGCTTTCGTTTACACTATCCATCTGACAACTCTATGTATTATGGTACTGTCCCTACCTTCAGGGTGAAAATCTTCCGTACTCACTGGAGTTTCGGAAGGCGTTGTCCAGACTTCCGGACATGGAACGGTTGATTGCACGTATGTTTTCTAGCATGTAAGGGATTAGCTGTATTGGGAGATGTTAATTCTTACATTATATGTTTATACCAAAGGCGTACTAAACATATTTGTTAAAAACTCATTGTGTTATATGTTATAGTGAAGCTAGTGGAAGAAATGGCGATAAAGTGGTGTTATATGAAGATACGGCAAAGAAGGAGGTACAAGAATTCATATCAACTCTACGTGGTTGTGAAACAATGGCAGAAGCATGCTCTTCTCTCCGTGCTATCTTGAAGCACGATAAATCCAGGCGGCTGCTTCATTTACTATCTCCTGGTATCATCAGTTTGCTTCATAGTCACATTCTTAGACTGGCAAATTGCACAGCATCTAATATCATTTCTATGTCAGGTCAAATTCTTCCGAACATATCTTCCTCCATTAAGTATTTCAAGGATGCTTTTGACTGGGTAGAAGCTCACAATTCTGGTCGTGTAATACCCCATGAAGGAGCTGATGAAGAGTTTGATTGTGCCTGCAAAACAGTAGAAGAATTTGAGTCCAATTTGAAAAAACATCTGAAAGAGCAACGGAAATTACTCGGAGATCCATCTGTGAGAATTACTTCACTATTTGTTTTGGCTCCTTAAATGGCTAATCAACTGAGGGTTTTCTGATCAGATCTTTGATGATTATTTGTCTTCTTATCCAGATAAACTATGTTACTGTTGGAAAAGATGAATACCTCTTGGAAGTTCCTGAAATTTTAAGTGGGAGTGTTCCTCATGATTATGAATTATGCTCATCGAAAAAGGTAAAATTTGTACCAAGTTTCACATTCTAAAGAAATTGGCATTTCACTTTCATCTCAACAAGTCAATATAATGGTTTTAGGTGAGTATTTATGCCTCACGTATCATGATTGTGCCCTCGCTGTTAGGACGATATGTAGTCTTCTCGTAATTGCTGATATATTGACTATATAGAGACCCTAAATTTAAACAAGAGATTTCTTACTGTTTACTCTCTTTCAGGGTGTCTCTCGATATTGGACTCCTACCATAAAGAAATTATTAAAAGAGCTGTCACAAGCAAAATCTGAAAAAGAGTCGGCTCTGAAGAGCATTTCACAGAGATTGATTGGACGTTTCTGTGAGCATCAAGAAAAATGGAGACAATTGGTTTCTGCAACAGCTGGTATGGACATGTTCATGTTTTATAATTTTTGGTTTAAGAAATTGTCATTATCTTCATCCAGAATATGTATTTTTCTTATTCATTTCCTGCTAATTACTGTCACCCAGTGTTAGCTTTGTGGGTCATCCCTTGGACCCTTTTCGTTGTGACCATTTGTCGAGCTAGTTAGAATTGAGTTTGATTCCACACTATATAGATTGAGTAAGTAGTAAGGCATGAAGAAGAAAATGAATCTTAGGCAGACTTATAGTTCAATTACACAGCAAGAGATTTCTTGGGTGGAAGATTGTTTTATAGAATTAGGCATGCAAACAAAGAGTGCACTTAGACGTTTATGTGGATACATTGTTGACATGAATTCATTCTATTGCAGAGCTGGACGTGTTGATCAGCCTCGCTTTTGCAAGTGATTCTTATGAAGGAGTAAGATGCCGCCCAGTAATATCAGGTTCTACATCTGATGATGTTCCACACTTGTCTGCCACTGGTCTAGGGCATCCAGTTCTAAGGGGTGATACTCTAGGCAGAGGTTCTTTTGTACCAAATAATGTAAAGATAGGTGGTTCTGAGAAAGCCAGTTTCATCCTCCTCACAGGCCCTAATATGGGTGGAAAATCAACCCTACTTCGCCAAGTTTGCTTGGCTGTAATCTTGGCTCAAGTAAGCTATCATTTTTAAAAACTTTGAAGGCAATGGACCTTGACCCATTTAATGTTAATGAAAGAGACTCAAGCAATGATGATCTTTTCACAGATTGGAGCAGATGTCCCAGCAGAAACCTTTGAGGTTTCGCCTGTTGACAGAATTTGTGTCCGGATGGGTGCAAAAGATCATATTATGGCAGGACAAAGCACGTTCTTAACAGAACTTTCAGAAACTGCGGTAATGTTGGTAAGTAATGTTCATACTGTTTGTCAAATTTATTACATGAAACTTTCTAAGATTAATGTGGAACTTACCACAGTGGTTACCCTTTTAAATGTTGGTCACATTATTTTGTTAAACTATGCAAATTACCAACAAACACATTGATAGAAAGTTGGAATATTATAATACGCAGACATCAGCTACCCGAAACTCTTTGGTGGTACTAGATGAGCTTGGACGAGGAACAGCCACATCAGATGGACAAGCCATTGCGTATGTTTTATCATATTATTGTGTATCTTGTTGTTGGGATTTACTGTTATTGTTCAGTTTATTTACAATATTTTAACTATTTACAGGGAATCTGTACTTGAGCACTTCATAGACAAGGTGCAGTGTAGAGGATTGTTCTCTACTCATTATCATCGTCTATCTGTGGATTATCAAACCAATCCAAAGGTATTGTGAAAAGTGTCTGCTTCAGTTTCTGCGTTTGAAAGACTTGAGACTATCATCAATCATCTGATTATTTGTGTACAGTCTGAAACTTCTCAAAAACCGACCGGTCTTGATATTTTTGGATAGGTCTCACTTTGCCATATGGCATGTCAAGTAGGAGAAGGAATTGGTGGAGTAGAAGAAGTTACATTTCTCTATAGACTGACGCCTGGTGCATGTCCTAAAAGCTATGGAGTTAACGTTGCTCGGCTAGCTGGTAAGAACATCGAATTCACTACTACTCCATTGCCTCTCTACTCACTTAAACAGAAGCAGTCACTCATCATATTGTTTTGGTTTAATCTCCATAGGTCTTCCAGATTACGTACTTCAGAGAGCGGTGATAAAATCCCAAGAATTTGAGGCCTTGTATGGTAAAAAACAGAGAACAACTGATCATAAAATGGCAGCAATGATAAAGCAGATCATCAGCAGTGTTGCATCAGATTCTGATTACTCAGCTTCAAAAGACTCATTGTCTGAGCTACACTCCATGGCCAATACATTTCTCCGGTTAACCAACTGATTTAACTGCTCCATGCCTTTCCGGTTTGTCCTTCTTCCTGTAATCCATGAGCTTTCCTCGTGTCAAATACTAAAACCCGAGGCAGCCTCAAATTAAACTCCGAGTAGACTCAGTTTTGAAGGTGTGGGTTTTAGCTTCAGAGTCTTTTGTGAAGTTTTGGGGGTTTTTAATACTCTGTGATCGGTAAAGCAGGATCGGTCAATTTTGTGAATATATTGTTGAGTACTCGCAGATTCTGTTTCTCTTAAATTGGTCAAAAGCAAGTAGGCATTAAAATTATTTTCTTTTAAGAAAATTATCACAAGCAGCAAAATAGTGAAAATTTAGACAATTGACAAAGAAATTACTCTTATTTATACTTTTTTGTTTTTTTTTTATGATAATATTTTTATTAGAAAATTATTAAAACAGGGTGACAATTTGATAAGATGGAAGACAATCAAACGCGAATAGAGAAAACTGGATTTTTATTGAGTAAATTTACGTTTATTTTATTTTACTTTGTGAGTAATGACCATGAGCATCAAATAGATGCATTTCGTTCAAAAAAGAAAAGATTAGAAAGAACAATTTTTGTAAAGTTCGTTAAGCCAAATGTTGTTGTTGCTCTTCTTCTTCTTCTTCCAAGTCATCGTCGTCGTCAGAGCTCAACGTATCTTCTTCAGATTCCTATATTTCAAAAGTCAAACATCACCAAAAAGTCAACAAAATAGAGAGAAAGTTGAAACTCACATTTGGCATTAAATGATGATATATATAGCGTTTTTGGACTTTGTGACTATTCAAAAAGTCAAATTTCGATTATAAAGAGATTTCTCCCATGATCGCATATCCTCAAAACGTGGTACCTACATTCGTACTCGCATGCGTGAATGTTAATATTCACATCTCACATGCATTTTATTTCGGAAATACTATATATTATGTTCAATCATGTACAGTACTAATATACATGCATATTTCTTATAGTATATAATAGTCCTGTAAAAAAAAAAATGTATATATATGAGTTTATGAAATTTAAGAAAGTTGGGGAACTTACAAGATACTGAAGACGACGGAGAGTTTTCTGAATAGTTGAGATTGTTCGAATTATAATGAACATTGGCAATAAAATCCCTATGGCCTTTAATGTTAGTACCTGCAATCATCCACCCAATTCTTATTAATTATTTACATGTAAAACAAACGTTGAAACAAATTTAAGGATCATTTTTGTATTATTCTGATTTTAATTGATTCATTGATTTTACCGTAAATACAGAGAATGGATATTCTTCGGTTCCATAAGTCACATCGAATGTGTGTTTCATCAGCAAAAATACTGAAAGCTGCAAAAAAATCATGTTTACATTATTATTATTATTTCTCACGAAATTAGTCTTATGATTCGACCCCCAAAAGAATCAAGTTACCAAAACAAAAACCACTCCCTCCGTTTAAAATAGATGTCGTTTTAGGATTCTAATGTAAACTTTTGATATAAGAGTATCGAATTTGCCTTTACGATAAAATATATGAAGTCACAAATGATACACAACCGGATGGTAGAATGAGATATGAACCAATACAGATTTGGTAAAGGGTAAAGAAAATATATTGGTAGGAGTTGTGTCTTAGGTGAGACAAGATTTGTATATTGTAAATATGGCTAAAACTCAAATTCTTGGCCAACCACCAACTTACCCAACCTATATATATATGTGCATTTTTTTTTTGCAACAACATTTCCAACCATTAAATATAAAAAAAATATCCCAATTTTGATATAAACTCAAAAACATGACCAAATTCTTTTCAAAAAGTTTAGAGGAGAAATAGCATAGTTCTTCATACTAAATGGTAAAAGAACATGGAAAATAGTGACAAAGTTTCATAACGGTAACATGTACATTTCTTTTAAAAATATGTTAGAAAAAGTTCTTTTTCATGGTGGGAAAAGAAACACTAAAATATGCACACAGAAACAAAAAGATATTCACATTTATAGGCTTTGCCACATAACTACGAAATAGATTTGGCCAAAAAAAAAGCTATGAAACAGTAAGTAGTGGTTGCCATATCTATTTCAGAGCTCCCCTAAACTCTGGACTTTTCCCCATCTCTCATCATTTGTTTTAACTAATTTATTATTAGTAGTAGTAATCACTTTCTATCCAAAACTAAATTGATAAAAAATAGTACTTGGAAAGAAAATGATCAAAAAGAGAGAATCAGAGAACTTACAATAAAAGTTAATGATCTGCAAAACGAAGCTCCTCTATTAGCAACAGAATTACACTGAGATAAATCTGATTCAGCTATAGTCACTAATCTTCTACTTCTTCTTCGTCCATTTACTCTGTTCCATTAAACAAAAAAAGTGCAATATTTGATATCATTATTATTATTAGTTGTTGAATATGAGTAATAAACTATGCATAATTATTCTCCATATGCGTAAGCAAAGGAAAGAATCAGGAAACCACGTCAATGGGGTCAATTATTTGCATAACTAAATCTATTTAATTTATTTTTTCCTTCTTCTTAACAAATATTTTACCTGATTGTGACTTCTTCTTCAATGAATTTAGATTGTTTTGAAACTGCTGTATATCCATCTCTATACACCTGCATGGTTTTTTTTAAAAAAATATTTTATCATTATTACTCAATTTCTCAAATAGAAACTCAAGTTTAAACAATAGCATTCGTCCTGCTAATTTTATTGGGTCCCATGAAAAAAATGAAACCCAATTATCATTTTTGGTTTCCAGCTTTAACTTTTAAATTCACTGAATTCAGAAAGAAAAAATAATAAACAAAAAAGAGCCGTAAGTTCACAAGTGATTGCGACAATCAAAACCTTATATTTTTTTCCCTAAATTATCATTATCGATATGAAAATAATTTGACGACAAAAAACCAACAAGGAACAAACAGTGACGCATTAAGCAATTCAAGAAATTAAAGAATTTGGAGACAAAAGAAAATATTAATTATCTGAATACAGCGAAGCGCACATCACACAAAAAAAATCAAATAACATAAAACTTTTGTTTTCGAAACCAAAAATTAAAAAAAAATGATCGGAAAATTGATAATCAAGAAGCAAAAAATACCTGAAGACAGATTTCACAAGTTGTGTTTCCTTTTTCATCACACCAACGTTGTATGCAATTTCTGTGTGCGAACTGATCAAACAAAAACAAAACAAAACTCTATTAGTTTCATATTTTGAGAATTAAAGTTTTTTTTTTCTTGTTTGGTTCTTTTACCTTAACGGTGCCTGAACAAGCACAGGGAACTTCGAAGAAACTTTCTTCTTCTTCTTCATGGCAAATTCTGCAACGCGAGATTCTCACTTTCGAATTCGTATCGTTGATGAACAAAATCACATCTCCCATCTCTCTCTTTATTGATCCGTTGATGATTTGGAAAGTTCTTGGTGGCTCTTTTTTTTTTTGGAAAACTTTGCTCTGTTTCTTGAATAAAAAAAAAACTTTGCTTTTGAGAAAAAAAAAAGCTTTGCTCTGTTTTGTTGTTATCTTCTGAAGAAAGAGCTTTTGGCAGAGAGAGTCTCAAACTTTTATACACAGAATGTAAGCAAATTCTCGATTTTACCCTTACTTATGTCTCTATTATTCAAATTCCAATAAAAGTTTCGTCTAATTCCAATAAAAACATTTCCCCTAGCTATTAACATGTGTTTTCTACTTCTTCTAGCTAATTACATATATATAGTACTCCCTCTGTTCCTAATTGTTTGATGTTTTGAGGTTTTCACACATATTAAGAATTTAATCATTGTTTAATCATTTGAACATTAATTTTGATATTACATATTTTAAAATAAATATCAACCAATAGTATTCTAAAAAAGTTAATTATTTTCAATCATTACGCTTTGAAGTTTACGATTTATTAATATAAATCAATAAAAATAAAGAAAAAATCTAGAAAATCAATCTTTGTGAGACAAATAACAAAAGCTAGAACATCAATCTTTTAGGAACGGAGGGAGTAATATTTTATTTTGTTTAATCCGTTACATCGTTATGTGATAGTTTAACTTAATTTGACACATCACAATCTACTTGGTTTACAAAATGGAAATATCTCAAACAAATTATAAAGGATGACGAAGATATAATCCGAAATATATATGCTGATGAACTTGATTTCAAAATAAATGAATAAATAATTACAAAGAAAATTCAAATACATTGCAGCAACTGTGAATGAATCTTTGACAACAACAATCCGAAAGATCAATTCAACAACATTTGCTTAAAATCTCAATTAACCCTTTTTTACTGGTTTTTCGTTCAATTTATTTTATTTTTATTTGGAGTTGATAGAGATTTAAAAAGTACTATTTGTTGGTGTCGGATCCCGCACCAGAAGTCCGAGACCAACCAAAGATTGCCACGTAGTCAAGATGATGGCCCATAAAGGACAAAGCCCATTGAACTCATGAGCCGAAGGAACGGTCGAAGTGGTTGTCACCACTTCGAGAGTTCGAAGTGGCTGCACTGTGACACGAGTTCGATGTAGAAGACACGGGTAAGTCGGTTCAAGGACACTTGGGCCAGAAAGGACGAGGCCCATGAAGATCAGAGTCAACTCAAATTCAAACGTTGAGCATTAAAGGCGAAGAATCAAAACGGACACATTTAAGAGGGAATAATTGTACTTAATTATTCATTTTAATGTCGATTCTCTATGTATAAATATAAAGGCCAGTCGCCGTGTAAGGGGGATCTTCCTCTCAAGAAAGAAATACTATAGCAATTTTCGTAGCAATTTAGAAGTTTTTACATATTCATTTTTGTCCCTCAAGAATAATCTTTCCAACTTAATAAAATACTTGAGTGTGTGAATCCGACTTCCACATTTTGGCGCCGCCTGTGGGGAAGATAGGATTCTTGAGTGGTCAGATTTTTCTTTATTACACTTCCGAGATAAGCAACAATGTCCGGAGGAGACACCGTTGAGACATCATTGGCTGAAACCCTCAAAGCTATGCAGCAAACCATGTCGGACATATCACAAAAGTTCTCGGATGTGGAAAAGGCCGTCGATACATTGCAAACATCCTAGGTATCTCTTAGTCAAAACGTCAATACTATACAAACTCGTGTTCGCTCTTTAAGTGCAGGAAACCTTGTGGGAATCCGAAGAGGGATATTCAACTCGCCAAGTTCCGCTGCACGAAATGAAACCAGCGGACAAACAACTCCCGGTGCTACTAATAATGTAGTTCAGACGTTGGAAGAAGAGACACAGCTTGGAGATGAAGAACAACTTGCAGCTCAATACGAGCAGGAGAACCTCGACCAATTCGAGACCATGAGGAAGGTTAGCCAGGAATTAAAAGAAATGAAATCGAAATTTCATCAAGCTACAAGTTCGGAGCCAGACATCAATCGAGTCATCGAAGAAGCTAGGCGAACACCTTTCATCTCGCGAATTGCAAGTTTGAGGATCAAAGATTCCCGAAAACTCAAGTTGGACCCTTACAGCGGATTGGAGAATCCAAAAAGCTATCTCGCAGCTTTTCTGATCGCTGCTGGAAGAGTCGAATTGGATGAAGCTGATGAGGACGCAGGCTACTGCAAGCTTTTTTCGGAGAATCTATGTGGCCAAGCTCTAATGTGGTTCACCCAATTAGAGCCGGGTTCGATCAGCAATTTCGACGAACTATCGGCCGTATTCTTAAAGCAATACTCCAACCTTATGGATAAAAGCGTTTCGGATGCCGATCTTTGGAACTTATCGCAAGGATCTAATGAGTCACTTCGAGTTTTCATCACCAAATTCAAAGGAGTGCTGTCAAAACTCCCAAGAATCTCACAGCAATCAGCTTTATCTGCCCTACGGAAAGGATTGCGACATGATTCAAGGTTTAAAGAAGACTTAATACTTCCTAAACCAGACACAATTCAGGATGCACTCTTCCGCGCGAACAACTGGATGGAGGTAGAGGACGAAAAAGAAAGTTTTGCCAAAAGGAATAAACAAGAAAAGCCGGCAATCACCGTCCCTACCAAGAAGTTTGAGCCTAGGGAGAGCAAAAGACCAAGGAAATTTGGGTCGCAACCCTTCAACAGTACCGTCGGAAAGCAATTCCAAGGGAAAGGAAGATCAAACACTTGGGTCCGTGATGAAAGTCTATATTGCGATATTCATAAAGTAACCGGACATTTAACCAAGGATTGCAGCGTTCTTAAAAAGCATCTCGCAGAGCTTTGGGCCACTGGAGATATTTCCAAATTCGATATAAAAAATTTTGTGAAGGAATACCACGAAGCAAAGGAAAACTCCAAAGATCAAGATTCCAAAAGACCAAGGTTATCCAACGAGGAAGAACCAAGGAGTTCGAAGGGTAAGATCAATGTGATTCTAGGAGGTTCCAAATTTTGCGGAGATTCGATAAGTTCCATCAAGAAACATAGACGAAATATCCTACTCAAAGCAAGCTTAAGCGAAGAAGTCGATTTTCAAGGTACATCAATATCATTTAATGAAGAAGAAACGCGGTACCTCGAAAGACCGCATGATGATGCTCTAGTCATTACCCTTGACGTTGCCAACTTCGAAGTATCAAGGATCCTTATAGATACAGGCAGTTCGGTCGATTTGATCTTTTTAAGTACTCTAGAAAGAATGGGAATCAGCCGAGGAGACATAGTAGGACCCCCATCTCCGTTAGTTGCGTTCACAAGCGAGTCAGCCATGTCTCTCGGAACAATCAAGCTACCGGTCCTTGCCAAGAAGGTATCGAAGATCGTGAACTTCGTTGTCTTCGATAAGCCCGCAGCTTACAACATCATCCTCGGGACTCCCTGGATTTATCGAATGAAAGCAGTCCCCTCTACATACCATCAATGTGTTAAATTTCCAACATCAAATGGGGTGGAAACAATTCAGGGAGATCAAGAAGCTTCACGGACGTGTTACCTAGCTAGCCACCGTATGCAGATTCAATAGCAATTAACAAAGCCCGCAAAAGAGGGACTAAAAACAAAATTTCCTGGCGGGCAGAAGAAAGATGATGTAGTAATCGAGGTGGTGTTGGAAGAAGACAAGCCGGACCGGAAAATTCGAATTGGAGCAACCCTGACTGGCCAAATAAAAGGAGCTTTGGTCGAACTTTTAAAGAGAAACAAAACATCGTTTGCATGGTCAGCAGCAGACATGCCTGGTATAGATCCAAGTATAATTTGTCACGAGCTAAACGTAGATCCGAGCTTCAAGCCGGTGAAACAGAAAAGAAGAAAGCTCGGAGTGGAGCGAGCCAAAATAGTAAATGACGAAGTAGATAAACTTTTGAAGATTGGGTCCATAAGAGAAGTGCAATACCCGGAATGGATAGCAAACACTGTCGTTGTCAAAAAGAAGAATGGGAAAGATAGGGTTTGCATCGATTTCACAGACCTAAATAAAGCATGTCCCAAAGATAGTTTCCCGCTCCCACATATAGATCGACTTGTAGAGTCTACCGCTGGGAACGAGCTGTTAACATTCATGGACGCCTTCTCGGGTTATAATCAAATAATGATGAACCCCGAAGATCAAGAAAAGACGTCATTTATCACAGATAGAGGTATCTATTGTTATAAAGTGATGCCTTTTGGTTTTAAAAATGCAGGAGCAACTTATCAACGGTTGGTTAACAAAATGTTCCATAATCATCTCGGGAAAACAATGGAAGTCTACATAGATGATATGTTGGTTAAGTCGTTAAAGAAAGAGGATCACGTTAAGCATTTAGAGGAATGTTTTGATATTCTCAATAAATATCAAATGAAGCTGAACCCGGCGAAGTGCACATTTGGAGTCCCATCCGGAGAATTTCTTGGTTATATCGTGACAGAAAGAGGAATCGAAGCCAATCCAAATCAAATTAACGCCTTTCTAAACATGCCCTCTCCAAGAAACTTCAAAGAAGTACAACGGTTGACTGGGCGGATTGCGGCTCTGAATCGTTTTATCTCGAGATCAACAGATAAGTCGTTACCTTTCTACCAAATTCTAAAAGGGAACAAAGGATTCCTTTGGGATGAGAAGTGTGAAGAAGCATTTGGGCAGCTTAAGGCATACTTAACCACTCCGCCTATATTGTCCAAACCGGAAGTGGATGAAAAACTTTATTTATACGTGTCGGTTTCAAACCACGCGGTTAGTGGAGTCTTGGTTCGGGAAGACCGTGGGAAGCAGAAACCAATTTACTACGTGAGCAAGTCAATGACAGATCCGGAAACCAGATATACAATGATGGAAAAACTCGCACTCGCGGTGGTGATATCGGCTCGGAAGCTGCGCCCGTACTTTCAATCCCATCCGGTTGAGGTATTAACCAACCAGCCACTCCGAACAATACTTCATAGTCCAAGCCAGTCCGGACGATTGGCGAAATGGGCGGTGGAATTAAGCGAGTACGACATAGAGTTCAAAAGCCGGATCAGTATGAAGGCTCAGGTCTTAGCAGATTTCCTGACCGAACTACCAATACCTGGAACGAT